CTTGATGAGAGCTGCAACCAAGAATTTGCAGCCACTTTTAATCCATTACAGTCATGTCTTCTAGAGATGCTGTAGTGCAGTCACGGTGCTCCTTTTCATTCAACCTCATCATTAGTAGTTATGTGGTATACTGAGTTGGTGTAGAATTATCCCACAGTGAGTTTTTAATCCCCCATCAGAAAATCTGAGTAATTTATAAAGAAAAGAGGTTCATTTGGCTCACAGTTCTGCAGGCTGTACAAGCATGGCACCAACATCTGCTCAGCATCTGGTGAGACCTCAGGAAGTTTATAACCATAGTGGAAGGCAAAGGGGAAGCAGGAGTGTCACATGGCAAGACAGGGAGCAAGGAGAGGAGGAGATGCCAGGTTCTTTTAAACAGCCAGATCTCACATGAACTAATAGAGTGAGAACTCACTCATTCCTGCAAGGACAGCACCAAGACATTCATGAGAGATTCGCCTCCATGATGCAAACACCTCCCACCGGGCCCCACCTCCAAAACTGGGATCACATCTCAACATGAGGTTTGGAAGGGACAAACATCCAAATCATATCACCCCTTCGACCACATTCTCACCAAGCATGTCACCCTTACTTCTTCATGTAGCTCCACAGAAAGTGGCATAGACAGCAGCAAACTTGGCGAATTGCCCTTCCTGTCATATTCCAGGAAGAAAATCTACCATTCTCTTACTGGTGTGCTGCTTAGAGGGTGATCTTAATTAAACTGCAGAATGTCAAAGGTTAGTATGGAGAAGGGGCAGCCAATAGGGAAAGGATATGAGTCAGGTTCATTTGTCACTGAGCAGCAAGTTGGTAACCCTTCTCTTAGAAAAGATTGTTTTAAAAAGCCAAAACTTCATATTATATAAAGCCACCATCATTTCTCCATCTACCAGTCAAAGTAGATCTGTCCTTACCTGCCTTCCATGCACACTCTACTACTCTTGGGGCCTCACACAAGCATTTGTGAAGAGGAAGCTCTGGAGAGGATGTTTCAAGTTCACATTTACAGCCTGAGAAAGCAGATGGTATTCTCTTATATATCATTTCTCAGACATTCAAACTTACATGTTTTAGAAATAAGGCAGAATATTTAAATAATAGCATTCCTTGATCTTCAAGACCCAAAATGCTGGTAGGCTCCTACTTTTAAGCCCAGTGGTGAGGCAAAAGTAACCCATAATGATTTCTGAACCCTAACTCAAGAAGCTTCTGGTCATGTCATATGTTCTTCCTGCCTCTACCTATGCTTTGCCTTAACTTAGAATCCACTTCTTTCTGAAAGCCTTCTATGGCCCTGCCAGGTGAGCTGCACCTCCTATATACTTTTCTATCACCCGGTACCTGTGCCCATCAAAGCCTCTGCTACACTTACTGTAATCACCCATGTACATATCGGTCTCCTTCATTAGATATCCTCCTCCAAAATAAGAACCCCACTTTATCCACCCTTGAATCCCCAGTCCTTGGCACAGTGCTTAGCATAGGTCAGCTGTGCAATGGTTCTTGGATTCATGAGCATCTTTCAGTGACAGCATCACATTAGCTCTTGTCTGCAGTCTGCTGAAGGAAGTGAAGAAGCTGACACGGAGTGGCTCAGGGACTTGTTTCGTGGCTGAACCACGACCAGAGATCCTGACCTGTGACCCACTGATCTTTTCTCTATGCTGAAAAATCTAGTTTCCATCTTGCATTTTACTTGCTTTGTCTTCTGTGCCATTAAAACACAAAGCTCAGGACTCCCAGCATCACAGAAAGTTGGAGCTAAAGAGGGCCCTAAAAACTATGTTGTCATAGTCCAAACCCAGCATTTTATGCAAAGGAAACCAAAACTGGAGAAAAGTGACTTATGGCAGATCTAGGACTCAGGCCTACTGGTGCCTCTTAGTTTTCCTACCTCTGGTAGAAAGGTACGACAGTATTGATAAATGCATCTTTTATTCCAGATTTCAGCCTCCATCCCAGACCTATTAATGGAATGCAAATAAATGAATTCGAAAAAAAGGACATGATTTTCCATTCATCTTTATATTCTGCTTCCACATGCCACACATGGAGACCATTTGGTGGGGGCTGAAGAGGTGAGAATAGACCCACGACACACAGTTCTGCATCGCCACTCCGCAGGGCTGTCAGTAATATCTTACTTAACATCCTGTCACAGAATTTTCCTTCGGTGTCACCTCGGTCGCTACTGTAACACTCCATAAGAAATAATGCCATCTGTTAAAATACACAAGGCAGGGAAACGCAGCTGCTGTCATCGTACAAAGATGGAATTAGCCAACACTAAGCAATTACTTTCCTTTTAAATTTCACAATTAAAATTTTAGTCTTGCTTTATTTGTATCACAAAAGTCACCACAACACTGTGCCTGTTGAAGTAACAACACCACTCTCTTGATGAAAACATAGAGGAGGAGTTTAGTTGGGGATAATGGTAATTGTTACTCTGTTGCCTTTTTTATAAATATTTTTTAAATTCCATTGGGTGGTGTTAATTATAGGTAGCAGTACTAAGAATAATGGGTTTGCTTATAGCATTCACATTTTGGATCTCCTAGTACTCAAAGAAAAAAAAAACTCACAAAGTGAAGTTGCTAGCTGGTGGAAGGATCATTAGGCTGCAGATCCAAATTTGTTTTTTCTCTCTCTCTCCTTGGTAGTAGAAGATTTAATGGAGAAGGAAGGACTCAGCTCCTAAAGAGACAGGTTTCCAATTTGAACAGAAATGAAATCCTGCCCCTCAGCTTTTATTTCATTCATTGGAAGGGAGCAGATTGCTGGCTAAACAACAGAAGGGTGGACCTATTCAGAGCTTAACTGCTTCAAAAAGCTGTAAGAGATCAACAATTACATTGGCCGTACTCCATTATGAGGGTGTCAGCAAGCTGGTGTTTCTCTCTTTGATGCATTTTTTTAAACATGGGAATTATGTACTATATTTTCCGGGAGGAGACAAATAGACAAAACCTGTCTTAACTGTTTTTCTGATGGGCAAAGTTCTCTTGCAGGGTAGAACAAAATCAGTGACTTCAATAAAGGTTTAAATTGCTAGCTTTTCTCCAACTTCTGACACGTTTATGAATATATATCACTCAATGAAACCATATGCCAGTGACGCCATGAGTGTGAAAATACCTAAATGTTTGTTACTTGGGTCTCTTTAGACAGGAAGACTTAAATATCCACTCTTCTCATGACGTCTTTAATAACTCTTTAACTTTCAGCACAGTGTCCACCATCTAAAATATGGTATTTGCTTTTAATAACCTTCCATTGTTGTCCGGTTTATAGATGGAATGGTTTACATACCAGTTCATAGGTAAGATGGCTCTCAAACTACATGGTGAAAAACACTTAGATCCACCTTAGGATAAGTGCATTCTAAACTCGGCAGTGAAGAGAAAAGCCTTCATAGAAAAATTACTTAATAAGTATGATGTACTTGGCATTTTAGTAACAAAACTCTCAAAATTAGTTATTTTTAAATCTGTATACAGCTTGACTTCGCAAACACTGAAAATTCCTTCAGGACTAAGACCATGCTTATCTATTTGGTTACGCCATCAGGTACAACACAGTGTCATCAGTAAGGTAGGCTCAACTTTTGTGGACTAATTAGCTTCAGACATTAAAACCTGAGATGTTCCCATTTTGGAATTACATGTGTTAGTTATATCTCAGCTGGGGTATGGCAGGAGGAGGACAGCTAACAAAATTATTCTCACAAACAAAATCTTGACAAATTCATTACTCACACACATGGATTTTGTTGGAGCTATTGACCAAAATCTTGATGAATACAATGATGTCTGATGTATTATTAAATAGAGGAAACTTGATTTTATCACAGACTATAACCTCTTGAGGTCCATGAAGACAAAGGGCCATATTCAGAAATAAATTGCAATCTGTGAATATAATTCACAATCAAGGCTCTTAAAGTCACAAAATAGCAATGACTACATGTCTGATTACTAATTGAATCAGGCACTACCAGCACTCCAGTGAAGAGCAACCAGACAGAGGAAGCCCCTGGGCCATGCTTGTCTGTATTTTATACCATAAGACACATGTCCAGACAGTCTTCAGTTCTTAAGGATGCTGTTTCTCTTTGTGGAATCATTTATAGAAAAGAAGAAAAATGATGTGCTAGGCATTATACCACTCTCTTCAACTGGAGTAATATATCCAGCTTAACAAGAAAACATGTGTTACTAATGACCTCCTTTCTGTCTTACCTGGCTAGGGAGAGATCTAAAGCCAGTTTTCAGTTGAGCTCCTGTATCATATTACTATTTCTTTTCTGAGCTAAGCTTAAAAGAACGTACAACAATGATGAAAGTACATAGTTAAGAAGCTAGAAAGAAGGCAAAGATTATTTTTCCCCATGCAATATATAATAGATCTTAGGGGTCTCGGAGAGAAAAAGATATACACAATCTGTTCAAACCACCCAATTTCTCATTCAGGTCCCCATTTGCCCATTGCTTACTAGTTCTTCATTTTTTCACAGTCCCTTGACTTTCCTACCTTCCTCCTTGTTGTTCCCTTTTGGGTCTCATAGACTCCATATACATCCACACCAAGACTCAAGCTCTCACATACATTTAGCATAATCATTTTGCATAACATATGAATATTGCTCAAAGTAGCACATAGGGGAAAAACATGTGCAAACCCTTTTACCCTTGATTAAAAGCAATAATTGGGGATAAACCTCTAAGTGTGAATGAAACAAAATAAAATCTTTCCCACTTTAGATTTCCTCAACTGTAATTGCTATTCTTTTTTTCTATTCCAACTATTTTATGTAAGAATGGGTAGCTTCCTGTGAGTTAAAAAGTAGAAAAGAATGAGCTTTAAGGTGAGAGGAAGGGACTCAAGACAAGTTTTAACTCTGCCTCTGTACCCAGATGTGATATGAAGTGGTAAATAAAAAACAACTCATCCCAACTGAAGACTTTAGTGTTAGCTGGAGTCTCACCTACCCACACATGTGCACGTGCCAGATGGTTCCATGGCAGTCAGGAGGTTTGAAGTGAAGCACTCTCTTCATCTGCAGCTGGAATACAGGATTGCCCAGTGAAATAAGATGCTCATTCAGATGGATCCCAAATAAATGGATTAGATCTCAGAAAATATGCGGTTTCTCTTTCTTCAAATTCCTAAAAAGATTCAAACCTTGTAAACATTTTCACCACATCCCAGCCAAATCACTTTCAGTACCAAATTTAGTCATATGCCTCCAAATATGCATATGATAATTTCTCTATACACCTCAATATTTGTATAACTTCTTAGGTTAGATTTGAAAATAACATCAGGTGTTTGTCCCGCATTATCTCATTTACAGTAGAGCAGCCAGTTTATTACAGTCTACGTGAAGGTTTTCAAAATTTCTGATCTACAATCAAATGCTCTGGCAGATACTCAGTGGTTAAGCAATCCCCTCCAATTTTATCTGAATTTGACTTATTCTAAAAATGCAGTGGGTTTTATGCTGTGCACATAATCATCACACCATATTTATGTAATGTTTTAAATTTATTATTGAATGATATAGCCACTGAAAACTGAATTACTCAATAAGAAATTTAAATTTCTGAAAACTCCTCGTTATCCATGCAGGCCCATTCATTTCACCCGAGATTCCTGAAAGAATACAAAGCAAGACAACAACTTAATTCATGCATGAATCTGCCAATTAATTTCTCCATTTGTATAAGATATGGGGTGTCTTGCAACTTAGGTAAACAAGATCGTCACCCTAAAAACAGACGATGCAAATGGAATGTGGATGATGGAGGGCTTCCAAGGCTTCTGTTCCCACCAATATATTATTCAGTTAACAGTATGCAAATGAGTTAACAAGAATACATGCAGAGTTCCTGGGGTAAATAATTTCCATTTCTGTCACTGCCTAGAAACCATTCTTAGATACCTCCTAAATATTCATGCCTAGGGAAATAGGCAATAAGATAAATTAAGGAAATCATCTCTCACCAAAGATTTCCTTTCAAAGAAGAAAACATGAGGAGAAAGAGAATATATGGTGAGAAGAGAGAAGAAAAGAAAAAGAGTTTTTTCCTAATTTGTTTGTTATCTTTTTTTAAAGCCTTCTTTCTGGCCTTTATGGAACTAAGCTTGACCCATGGTAAAATTTTGCACATTATAATATTAATGGTCATTGAAAGCACAAAGCTTCAAGGAGTTTTGGAAGGCAAACTTCTGAGAAGAAGAGCTCCATACAATTAACACTGCATGCTACCTAGCCAAACCCTTCTGCAAAAAATAAATAAATATATAAATAAATAAATAAATCACAGTTTAAATTATCAGCATGTTAATGCCCCACTATGCATATCAAGGAGAAGCTCACTAAAATATCCCATTAAAATATGCAATTTGTGCCATAACACGCACTGAGAAATACTAACTACAAGTCAAGCAATACCTTGACCAAAATATATATGCCAAATTTTCAGATTGTTCCTGGGTAGAACTGCACAAATTCATTATAGTTTAGACAACCAAAAGAAAATGATTTTTTCTCCTCACCCTTTGTTATGCACTTACTTGTGTCCTCACCTCCCAATTTGTATTTTGAAGTCCTAACCCCCAGTGTGATTTTGTTTGGAGACAGGGCCTTTAGGAGGTAATTGAGGTTAAATAAGGTCATAGGGAAGGTGGGCCCAATCCAATAAGATTAGTGTCCTTGTAAGAAGAGAAAGAGATGTCAGATAGATCAACCTCTCTCCCTCTCTCTCTCTGTCCCCCTGAGTATACCCAGAGAAGAGAAGCCACACAAGGGCAAAGGGAGAAGACAATTTTCTACAAGCTAGAAAGAGACGCCTCATGAAAAACCAACCTTGATCTTGAACTTCTAGCCTCCTGGTCTGTGATATTTTGTTATGGCAGCCCAAGCAGACTGATACACCCTTGTCACACTAGAGTTTAATTTTGTAAAAGGACTAATATAAGTTTCCTAAATAGAAGTCATCAGCCTTCATCAGAATTATAAAAGAAAAATGAGAAATTTCATCACAGGCACAGACCACATTGATACCAAAAAATAAAAAAATAAAAAAATTGAGTGCTTTGAATATGCTAATCTCTGGTCTCAGCAATGGGGATACAGTCATGAATAAGGATGCAGTCATGAACAAAACAGAGAATGACCAGCTGTCATAGAGATTGCATTCTGGTGGGAGACATAAATAATAACTGTGCAAACAAATAAATTAATAAAGTAATTTTGGTTAGCAGTAGTGTTATGAGAGTAATAAAGTAAGGCAATGTGATAGAGAGTGAAGAAGAGTGGAGCCAGGTGATGGAAGATCTCTCTAGAAAGTTAGCATCTAAGCTAAGGCATGAATTAAAAAATGAAACCTGCCACAGCAATGAGGAAAAGATCACTCTGGGCAGAGGGAAAATTAAAGGCAATGACTCTGAGGTAGGCACAAGCTTTCTGAAGATCAAAGAGTGTATTAGTATCACTGAAGAGTAGTGTGCAAGAGAGGGAGTTACTAGCAAGGGAGCAGGGAGGTAGGAAGGGGTCACGCCATCTAAGGACAAAGGAAAGAAGTAGGAACTCATCATTAAATACAAAGCACTGGAAGCTAACGGAAGGTTTAAAAAAAGAGGAGGGGGGAATGACATGGTAGAATTTATATTTTTAAACATCACTTTAGCTACTAGAAGATAAATGATAAGGAAGGTAAGAGTTAATGCTGGAAGACCAGCTGGGTCACAATTGTAACAGATGAGGTGAAAGTGATGATGGCGTGGCCCTAAGGTGGGTAGGCATGGCAGTTGACTCGGTGTAACCGGGTCACAGATTTTGGAGGTAGGGTCAACAAGCATTCTGATGGCTGTATAAGCTGAGATTAAAAAAAGGAATCAGTAATTACTTTTTATGTTCCAGCTTTAGGAGACAAAGCAGATAGCATTTAACTTACATGTCTTAGTTGTGTATCTCCACAATATCATGCTTGGCTTGGAAAGGGGATACAGTTGATATTTCTGAAAGAAGGGGAGGAGAAAAGAAAAGAAAAGTGAAATAGAGTATGGGAGGAGAGGGATAGAGGAAGGAAGAAAGGGAAGGAGGAAGAGAGTGAAGAAGGAAAGAAGAGTGAAGAAGCAAAGAAGAGGGAAGGAAGGAAGGAAGGAAGGAAGGAAGGCAGGCAGGCAGGCAGGCAGGCAGGCAGGTTGGCTCTCACTATACATCACTGCCTCATGCAAATACCAAACTATTTAAACAGAGCAATATCTAAGTCTTTCAATATATATTCCACATACACACCCTATAATTCAATATAGTTATTATTGTGCCTAATAACTGTTAAGCATTGCAAAATCTTTATAAATAAGATAAGGTTTAAATTATATTTGATATAGGTTTAGAATGAAGTATATATTATATTCTTCTACACAAAATACCATTTATGCTACATGGCCCTTTCCAGAGCCAAGTTAGTTTACCTCTAATATGCATTCCCTGGCCATGTTTTAGAACAGTTGGCTTACTATCATACTAAATTTAGACACATCAGTTTGAAGACCACATCTTAACTAGGTCACTTTAGAACTCAGGTAATATTCAAGGTTTTACCCTAAAATGAACTTTTTCTCAGACTATAATTTAAAACTGCAATCCTTATCTTCCTTACTAGAAATAACTGGAATAGCCACTAACTTAAAGTTCGGGACTTTAAAATTATGCTTAAAAATGTAACTGGGAAAATTTGCATGAGTTGCCTTGAAGAAAAAATACGGCCTCTATGGAGAAGTCTAGACTAACTTCAGGACTTAAATATGATCTATTCCTATGGCTACATTTTAAATGGCAAAACAAAGTATCGCATAACATTGCAAGTAATAAAGAAGACAAAACAGCATACGACGTGAATCTAGGAAGTCAGAAAAGTCCATCTTGATACTTCAACTCAATAGGCAAAACAGTGTCTCCAAGGTAGAGGGTCCAAAAAGTGAGGCCTCAGAGAGCCACACAAGGGACAGCAGTTTGAATATCCTTGGAGAGTAGCACAGGCATCAGAGCCTGAGTCACATGAAATGCAACTGTCCCAAAGAATGCCAGTCAGAGATCCATAAAAAGTTATCCATTATAGAAGCCCATGAAAGTTTGCCTCATCTGGTATTGGCAATTTAATGTCTTGGTTCCTAGATGGCAGATTTATTTTTTTTAATTTGGCCAAGTCCTAAGACAGCACTTAAATGTGAGTACCTAGTTGTTTCGTGTGATTATGGCAGGGTAAAATGAGGAAGTGAGCTGTACAGATAAATGATGCCGACATCATAGCTCCTCCTAGTACCTGGACATACTGCTTCTGCACGTCGCCTCTTGCTATCTCTACTGACCAGAGAGCAATCCAGCCTGGAGGAGCAAAGCCATGTGCACACTCCCCAGCAAATTTTGGATGGGGAGGGGGGCAGGGAAATGTTTTCTTTTCCTTTGTCACCATTTTCTTTATAAAATAATCTTTCAAACATCCAACGTTTTAAATATCCAGATAATCAGGATCTTCTCTGATATCTTGATGACTTCTAAGACCTCATCTGATGCACCCTTCATTTGCCCCATTTCATCAACTGGAAAACCAGGATATGATCGGAGACTCAGTTCCCATGGTGAGCTCCAATGTGACACAGGGCAGATTCATGCGGAGCACCAAGGTTCCTGTTCTTCCACACCCCTTTCACTGTGGATGGCTCTGAAAGAATATTTGGTTTCTGTTCTCCTCTGAACAACTAAGGAAAGCCCTCTTTTTCCAGAAGTCCTAATGAGAAAATGCAAGAGAAAACCAGACCAGCAAGAACTCCACACAAACCCTCTATAAACACAGCCATGAAGAGAAATTTGGAAGCCTTCTCGTTGCACCAAAGAATAAAGGGAGTAAAAAATCAGTTCCTTGGCTATCCTTGTGCATGTACTATCTTCACTTGCCTCTATGTTTTTTTGTTGTGGTGGTGGATTTGTTTTGATTTTTGTTTTTTGAAGCACAGTCCTCCTCTGTTGCCCAGGCTACAGTGGCATGATCTTTGCTCATTGCAACCTCTGTCTCCAGGGTTCAAGCAAGTCTGTTGCCTCAGCCTCCCAAGTAGCTGGGACTACAATTGTGCACCACCACATCCAGCTAATTTTTGTGTTTTTAGGAGAGACAAGGTTTCACTATGTTGGCCAGGCTGGTCTTGAACTCCTGACCTCATGATCTGCCTGCCTCTGCCTCCTAATGTGCTGGGATTACAGGCGTGAGCCACAGTGGCTGACCATTTGCCTCCACTTTTTCCCAGCATTGTCATGGTCCTATATCACCTTGCTGGTAATTGATTTTATGACTGATTCTATCCAAGTTCACTTTTCTGAACTCCTCTGGAGAGAATGAAGCAGGAGTTTCACAGAATGCTGTCTAACATAGTAGATACTTAGAACTACATTTTTAAAATGCAACAAAAGAAAAGATACGTACTCTGGGCCGGGCACAGTGGTTCATACCTGTAATCCCAGTACTGTGGGAGGTCGAGGCGGGGGGATCACCTGACATCAGACGTTTGAAACTAGCCTGGCCAACATGGTAAAACTCTGACTCTACTAAAAATACAAACATTAACTGGGCATGATGGCTTACACCTGTAATCCCAGCTACCTGGGAGGCTGAGGCAGGAGAATTGCTTGAACCCAGGACAAGAGGTTGCAGTGAGCCTAGATCGTGCCATTGTACTCCAGCCTAGGTGACAAGAGCAAAACTACATCTCGAAAAAAGAAAAATGCACTCTGTGTACAATTACTTTACTTCATACCATGAAGACAAAGTTTATTTTAAACTGACTGAAATATGCTCATTTTAACCACTTATTTTTCCAACTGGTATAAGCAGAAATATTGAAAGTCTTTGACAAATGACTTTGACACATGTACATTTTGTGCACAGTCATTGATTACTGGGTGGAGAGGAGTCTGTCAAGATAGGTGGAGATAGTCCTCCAGAGGACGGGACTGGAGACAGCAAAAAAATATCACAGCAAAGAGTCCCAGAGAATATGACCCTTCTGCAGCATAGCAAGATTATCTCATACAATAACATTGCCTGTCATGCTGGGGAGAAGAACATGACTTTTGCTTGCCCTCAGATAAATAGATGAAAAATATAAGCCTTCTAAAACAAAGCAGTCTGGAAATATGGGGTCATTTATAAGAAATATTTCATATTCTTAATTCAACAACAAAAGCAATGTGGGTTGCAGAGTTTGGGGCTGCAGAATGCAAAGAGGAAAGATAAATGGTAGAAGGAGAGACGAGAAAATCAGGTTTAATAAACTGAGAAAGAGGAAGAGGGAATTGAGAAGGGGCAGCTTCCTCTCAACCTCACCTTCTATCACTTTCCAGAGAAAGAGGAAGTCAATTATGTACCACAGCATCACCTCATGCAGTTCAATTCCCTGGCTGACCTTCTTTGAACACACTTGCAGGTTGTCTTGACAAGTTGCCCTGCACATCAGCAGAGGAAACTTTCACTACCTGTAGCCCTAGAGAAGCTCATTAAAAACATACGGAGTGAGGCATGAGGCTGTAAATTACTTTAAAACTCTCAGATTTTTCCTCTGTCTCAAATTACACAGATCAATTATTAAGCTTTGCCACAGAAAAGTGGGTCATAATATCTGTTAATATATCACAGTTGTATCAAGCTGCCACTCGTGATCCACCACAAAGCAAGAAAGGTTTATGATCACGTTAAACCAAGTTTTATCACACACAAAAAAAAAATGGAACAAAGACAGAGAGGGAGGAAGGGAGGGTGGGAAGAAGAAAACAGAGAGGGACAGACAGAGAGAAGAAAGGAGGGAGGGAGGGAGAAAAAAGGAAGGAAGGAAAGAGGGAAGGAAGGAAGGAGGGAAGGAAGGAAGGAAGGAAATGAGAAAGGAAGGAGAAAAAAATATTTATAGGGTAAAGAAAATTATAGCAGCAATTAATAACATTTACAGTATTCATTAGCATCTCCTAAAGGGCCTGTGCA